AAAATATAATATGACCAAAAACAAACAAACAAACAAATAATGATAAAAGAAAATATCTCGTTTTTATACAAACCGCAGAGTCATTGGATATCAAGATTTTATGACTTTAAATAGATCATATGAATAGTAGTTTTTTTTTTTTTTTTTTTTTTTTTTTTACTTTTTTGTCATATTTGTTCTGTAATTTATATATATATTTTATTGATTGATTGTTTCTTCTTCTGTTCGTCTTCCTTTCTCTTTTCTTTCATTTCTTGTTGGTCCCGTGTTCGTCTTTTTTTTTCTTCTATGTCATTTCTCCTTTTTTATCCTTCTTTCCTTCCTCCTCCTCCTTCTTTCCTTCTCCTTCCTCCTTCGTCTTTATACCCCCTTTCCTTCTTCCCCTCCTTCATAATTTCTTTTTCGTCTCTTCTTGATTGATCCTTCTTTCTTCTTTTTTCCTTTCTTCCTCCTCCTTTCCCTCTTCTTCTCCCTACTTATCTCCTCCGTATTTATCCCCCTTTCCTTCCTCCTCCTTCTCCTTTCTTCTTCCCCTTTCCTTCCTTCCTCCTCCTTTCCTTCTTCCCTCTCCTCCTCCTCTCCTCCTCCTGCCTCCTCCTCCTTTTCCCTCTCTCCTTCCTCCTCCTCCTCCTTTCCCTCTTCTTCCCCCTTTCCTTCCTCTCCCTCCTTTCCCCTTTCCTTCTTCCTCTCCTTCCTAATTCCTCCTTCGTTCTCCTGATTGAACGAACGATGACGTAACCTTTCCATGCTGATTGAAATTGCCTTTTCCATTGGCCATAATTAATGCTTTTAAATGGTTAATAGGCAACTCCTCCTTCTCTTTTCATTTCTTTGTTTGTTTGTGTGTCTTTCTCTGTTTCTTTTCTTTCTCTTTCTTTCTCTTTCTCTTTCTTTCTCTCTCTCTCTCTCTCACTGTCTATTCTCTTTCTTTGTCTGTCTGTAGATTTTTTTTCCTACTGTTTCTTTCTTTTCGTGTTCTCTTTCTGTCTTCTTCCTTCCTTCCTTTCCTTCCTTCCCTCCTCCCTCCTTCCCCCTTCCCTCCTCCTCCCTCTCTCCCTTTCCCCTTCCCTCTCTCCTTACGCCATCCCTCCTCCCTCCCTTACCTCCTCTCCCCCATCTTCCCCCCACCCCCCACCCCTACTCAGTATCAGGTCAAGGCCCAGACCTTCCGTTCCGACCGCGACCAGACACCCAGACACGCCCTCCCTCCCCCCCGCCCCCACCCCCCCTCCGCCCCCTCCCTTCCTCCCGTCCCCGCCCCTCCCCTCCCTTCCTCCCCCGCCTCCTTGTTTCTTCCCCTATCTTTACGTGGTTCGATATTCGTCCAAGGTGAAGCGGGTGAGAGTGGTGGGGATGGGGTGGGGTCGGGGGGAGAGTGATGGGGTGGGGAGGGGTGAGAGTGTGGGTGGGGATGGCGGGTGAAGAATAGGGGGGTTGGGGTGGGGGGTGGGTGGGGGGAGGGTTTCTGGTTAATGGGTCAGGGTCCGAGTACAAGGTACGAGGTGCAATGTACTGTTTTTTTTATCACGTCTATCTTCTCTTTTGCTTTTCCGTTTTCTTCTTCTTTTTCGTTTTTTTGTTTTCTTTCCTCTTCTCTTACTTTTTTTCATTCCTTTTCCATTTTCTTCTTCTTCCTCTCCTTTTCCTTTTCTTGTTCCTTTTCCTTTTTGCAGGGGAGAAGGACAGAGGGAGAGAGAGGGAGAGTGGAGAAAGAGGGGAGAGGGAAGGGGAGAAGGATAGAGGTACAGAGAGAGAGGGCGGGGAGAGTGAAGAGAGAGAGAAGGGCAGAAGGACAGAGGGAAAGGGAGAGGGAATGGAGAAAGAGAGGCAGAGGGAGAGGTCAAGGGAAGGGGAGAAGGACGGAGAGTGAGGGAGGAGAGGGGGAAGGGGAGAAGGACAGATGGAGAGGGACAGAGGGAAGGGGAGAGGGGCAGAGGGAGAGGGAGCGAGGGCAAAAGGTCTTGATAAGGTTAATTAATCCCGAACGGAGGCAGGTGCGAGAGCAAGGGCAAGGCGGAGACGTAATGATCGGTTTATTAGCATCGCGGGGCGTCGAAAATGCCCTCGGGACCGGAATATAGTTCGCGCGCTCGACTGATGCCAAAAAAAGGAGAGAGAGGGAGAGAGAGAAGAGAGGAGGAGGAGAGAGAAGAGAGAGGAGGAGAGAGATTGAGAGAGGGGAAAGAGAGGAGGAGAGAGAGAGAGAAGGTAAAGAGAGAATGAGGGGCAGGGAAGTTGGTAGGGAGACAGAGAGGGAGAGAGAGAGAAGAGAAGAGGAGACGGTGGAGAGAGATAAGAGCGCGGGAGAGGGAGAGGAGGAGAGGAAGGGAGGAGAGATTGAGAGGAGAGGCGAGAGGAAGGGGGAACAGGGAGAGGGGTAGAGAGGAGAAGAGAGTGAAGAAAGGAGGAAGCAGGAAGGAGAGGAAGTCGGGAGGCAGACGGATGAGATGACGAGAGGAAGAGAACAGGGCAGGGCATGTTTTCTAGAGGAAAGAGAGACAGAAAGGAGGAGAGAAGAGAGAGAAGAGAGAGAGAGAGAGGAAGAGAACGAGAGAGAAGGAAGACAGGGAAGGATTGGGGAGAGGGAAGAGAGGAGAGAAGTGGAGGAAGAGCGAGAGACAGAGGAAAGATCGAGGAGGGGAGAGGTGGAGAAGATAGGGGAGAGGAAGGGAGGAAGGGAGGAGGGAGAAGGAGGAGGAGAGGGAGGGGGGAGGGGAGGGAGATAGAGAGATAGGGGTAGGAAGTGAGAGGTAGAGAGGGAGGGAAAGTTAATGTGGGGGAAAAGACCAGAAGAGGCGAGAGGACGAGAAGAGAAGGCAGGAGCCCCTTCGTCTCTGTAGGAGTTGAGATGAGAGAGCGAAAGATGAGGGAGAAGAGAGTAGGAGAGGAAAGGTGAGAAGGTGGACACGTGTGAGGGAGGGAAGAGAGTGAAGGATAGAGGAAGAAATGAGAGAGAGGAAGAAGAAAGGAGAAGAGAGAAGGAGAGGAGATGCGAAGAGAGAAGAGAGAAGGAGAAGAAGAGGAGAGAAGAGGGAGAGAGAGGAGAAGAGAGAAGAGATTGGGCGGAGATGAGAGAATGAGAGAAGAGGAAAGAGAGAGAGAAAGAGAGAGAGAGGAAGAGAGAGGAAGGAGAGAGAGAGGAGAGAGAGAGAGAGAGAATGTCAAAATAGGGCGATGATTCATTAAATAGAGCTAATCTTGCACAGTGGACGAAGAGAGGAGGGAGTTAGAGGGGAAGGAGAGGGGTGAAGGGGGGTGAAGGGAGAGGAGAGATCAACGAAAGAGGAATAATAAATATATATATATTACTGTTGAAAAATAGATGAAGGAAAAGAAAAATATGATAAGATAAAGGAAAATCAAGAAGAGAAGATAAAGATAAAGGAAGTCAAAAGAAAAGACAGAAAATAAATCAAGGAAAATAAGAAAGAAACCAAAATCAAAATAAAAAAAAAAAAGGGAAAATAGAGAAAAAAAAAAGAAAAAGATGATAGCCCCACGCCACGACTCAGCGGCCCTATATATACCCTCAGAAATGTAAACAACCTTAGACGAGCCTTGCATGGTTGGTTAGCGATAGGAAGGGGGAGCGGAGGGAGAGGGAGGAGGTACGAAGGCCTGGCATGGCACATGGCACATGGCACGACCCTGACACTACCTGCGCGTGCTCTCTGCGAAACGCCTCGAATCGCCCTGGCACTCGTTCAGTGGCACCCGAAGCCCAAGGTCGAGATAAGTGGAGGGATCAAGTGGCCGACGTCATGCCAGATCGAGCGCCGACGGATAAGGGGGCACCCTCCGGTCTCGCGCTGCCGGGAGGAATGCTCTGGCCGCTGCGCGCTGGTCTGTGTGGCGCTGTGTCTTGTCTGTGGCGCTGTGTCTTGTCTGTGGCTGTGGCTGTCTGTGCATGTGTGGCTGTCTTTGCGTCTGCAGCGGTGTCTCTTGTCTGTGGCTGTGGTTGTATGTGCGTCTGTGGCTGTCTTTAAGTCTGCAGTGGTGTCTGTATGGGCGTCTCGTCTGTGTATGTGTGTCTGTACTCGCGTCTCTTGTCTGCAGCGGTGTATTTAGCTGAGTCTTGTCTGTATGTGTGTCTATAGTGGTGTTTCGTTTGCGTGTCTATGTATGTCTTTAGCGGTGTCTGTAGGTGTTTCTCATTGTGTGTGTGTGTGTGTGTGTGTGTGTGTGTGTGTGTGTGTGGTGTGTGTGTGTGTGTGTGTGTGTGTGTGTGTGTGTGTGTGTGTGTGTGTGTTGTTGTGTGTGTGTGTTGTGTGTGTGTGTGTGTGTGTGTGTCTGTAGCGGTGGCTGGAGCTGTTGTCTAAAGCGGTGTCAATTGTCTGTGCGTTTGTATCGGTGTCTAGAACGGCGTCTCCTGTCTGTCTGCGTGTGTGTTCGTGCGCGCGCGTGTGTGTAGCGATGCCTCTTGTCCTGTGGCGGTGTCTCCATCTTTGTTTTTCTTTCCTTTTTTCTTTTCATTCTGTGGCTTTATCGATGTTGGTCTATCTGTCTTCGTCACCGTCTTTGTTATTGTCTTTCGCTGTCACCGTTTGTCTTGGTGTCGCTGTCTAAGACTGTGTACGCTGTCTTTGTCTCTTTTTCTACTTCTGTCAGGAGAAATAGAACGAGAAGAGGATAGAGAAAATGAAAGAGAAAGAGAAAGAAAGGGAGGGGGAAAGGGAAAGGGAGAGAGAAAGGGAAAGGGAAAGAGAGAGAAAAAGGGAGAGGTAGAGAGAAAGAGAAAGGGAAAGGGAGATAGAAAGAGAAAGAAAAAGGGAAAGAGAAAAAAAGAGATAGAGATAGGAAAGGAGAAAGCGAAAGAAAAAGAAGAGAAAAAAAAAAAAGGAAAATTAAAGAAGACGAAAAGGAAAAGAGAGAGAAAGAGAGAAAAAATCTGCTTCTGTCCTTCCTTTTTCCCGCGTGTGAGTGTGTATGTGTGTGTACATGTACATGCATTTACGTACGCCCATACATACTATACGCATCGCTCCTCCAGCCTTTCAATCATGCATTTAGCGAGCAGCGGCCACCTTCCAGAGCGGCCACTCCAGAGCGCCACCTTCCAGACCACCTCTCAGAGCGGCCACCTTCCAGAGCCACCTTCCAGGCGGCCACCTCTCAGAGCGGCCACCTTCCAGAGCAGAGCGGCCACCTTCCAGAGCGGCCACCTTCCAGAGCGGCCACCTTCCAGAGCGGCCACCTTCCAGAGCGGCCACCTCTCAGAGCGGCCACCTTCCAGAGCGGCCACCTTCCAGAGCGGCCACCTTCCAGAGCGGCCACCTCCCAGAGCTCCAGAGCGGCCACCTTTCCAGAGCGGCCACCTTCCTTCAGAGCGGCCACCTCCCAGAGCGGCCACCAGAGCGGCCACCTTCCAGAGCGGGCACTCCACGATGCGACCGGACTGAGCGTATCGTCCGGGTATATCTATCGAGAAAAGATCTATTTCCCCGCAGAGATCCCCATTAGCCCGCGCCTCTGAAGTTGTTGTCGCCCGGCAGCCGAGGAGATCAAAGACCTCGGAGGAACAACAAAAGGGAGGGGGGGAGGGGGAGGAGGGGGAAGAGGAGGGGGGAGGGTGAGGGGAAAGGGAGGAGGGGGGTGAGGGAGCAGGTGAGGGGAAAGAGATAAATGAGGGTGAGGGGAAAGGGGAAAGAGATAATGAGGGTGAGGGGAAAGGAAAGAGATGAGTGAGGGGAGGTTGTGGGTGAGAAGGAGAGAGGGGAAAGAGAGACAGGAAAGAGAAAGAGAGGGGGTCAGAGAGGAAAAAGAGAAAGAAAGACAAAGCGAAAGATAGCGAACGAGAGAACGAGAACGAGAATACCAAACATCAAGATAAAGAACGAGAAACACAGAGATAGACACAGAGAGAAATCTAAAAAAAGAAAAAAAAAAAAGAAAAACACGGCACCAGATGCGCACCGAAGTTCTCTCTCTCTCCAGAAATCTAACGCAGATGTTTCTTTCTCGTCTGTTTGTTTTCAGAGTTATTATCGGTTTTGTTTCCTCTCCGCCCACCCGCGACGCCCACGCTCGGAGGAAGGAGGAGAGAGAAAGAAATGGGCGTGTGGGTTGTATTTTTTTTTCTTTTTTGTGGGCGTTGTGTTTGGGGGCGTTTTCTTGTTTTGTTGGTCTGTCTGTTTGTCTTTCATTCCTCTTCTGTTTCATCCTTTCCTCCCTCCTTGCTTCCCTTTCCCTTCCGCTTCCCTTTCTCTCTTCCGTCTCTCTCTCTCTCTCTCTCTCTCTCTCTCTCTCTCTCTCTTCTCATTCTCATTCTCATCCTCTTCCACTTCTACTTTCCTCTCTCTCCCTCCTTCTCTCCTCCTTCTCTCACTCCCACTCCAGCTCCCACTCCCTCACAACATGCAAGACACCAGAAAAGTGCATGTATTGTTATCCTGTGCGTAGGTGTCGCCCCCCCCCCCCCACTTCCTCTCCTCCCCTCCTCCCTCCCTCTGTGGTGTCGACGTCATGTAGGCCTATGCGTTGCCAGGCAGTGATTATTTTATTTATTTATTTCTGTTTTTTTTTTGAAACTGTTTAGGGGACAGTCCCTTGTCTTCATTAAAAAAAAATAATTTGTGTGTTTCGTAGTTCTTGTTATTATATTTTTTGTATTGTTGCTAATATTGTTATTACTAATATTATCATTGCTGTTATCATCATTATTGTTATTGTTTTTATTTTTATAGTCAGTATCGTTATCATTATCATAATTGTAATATTGTTACTGTTATTTTTTTTTCATTATTTCTTCTATTATTGATTCACTCATTTTCTTCGTATATTTCATGTTTTCGTTCAGTGCATTATAGCTCTTATGTGTCATTCGGTATTTTACTGTTATATCTCTTTTTTTAATAAATTGCTTAATTTCGATAATTTCGACGCTGTCTATTGACTTTGTAATTTAACTTTGACTGTGAATATATATTTCTTTTTTCCTGTTAATTGAGATTTGAATTCGGTTGATTTTGAAAGGAAATGGGAAAGACCGAGGTTAGGCGGAACGTATATATATTTTCGTTTATTTTGTTTGCATGTTTCTTAATGAAGCTGTTTTTTTCTCTCATTTTTTCTTTTCTTTACTGTTCATTTGTTTTCATTTATATTCTCGTTTTTATCATTTTTTTTTTCATTGTTTTTTTTTTCTCTTCGCTTCTTTTGGGATGAACTTTTCTCGTCGTATTTGGCACGTTTTCTTTTTCGTTTTCTTTCGTTCGTTTTTCGTAATCGATCTGCGCGTCGAGTTGCTCAGCTGATTGTTTAGTAAATCATTTTGTTTCGTTCTGGAATTATTTGTGTTTACGTTCGAGCCGTGACGTTAATTGGGATTCTGTTGTGTGTTTGGGAATCTGAATAATATTTCCTTGTCGTTTTTCGTTTTATTGTTGACAATTTGCTTCTGATTCTTTTTTTTGTGTGTGTTCTGTTTCTCTTTTCGTTCGTACTTCGGTTATCTCACGAGTTTTCGTTTGTTGTCTGTTTTATCTCTACTGTCATTTTTGTGGTGTGTCTGTTGTGTTATTATTATTGTTTATTATTATTTTATTATTTATTATTATTATTATTATTATTATTAATTATTATTATTTCTATTTTTTACTAACTTCCCTCTTACTCTCTCCCTCCTCTCTTTCCACCTTGTTCAATATTTGCTTTATCAAATTTTTGCCTCTCTTCTCTTCCTTTTCTCTCTCTCTCATTTCTCCTTACTCCTCTCTTTCTCCCTCTTCCTCTTTCGTCTCCCCTCTTCCCCTCTTCCCCTCTTCCCTCCCTCCCTTCCTCCCCACCCCCTCACACCACTTGGTTACTGGGTATGTCAAGCGACCGTATCTCCTGATGTGTTTATTTTAAGGTGCTATGCCAAGTGCTGAGTTGTATTTGAAGTACGAAGTGTCAAGGCCCTGTTATCCTCAAGTGCCTACGTATGTTGGGTTGGGGGGTTGCGTTGGGTTGGGTTGGGGTTGGGGTTAGGTGGGTTGGGGGTTGGGGTTGGGGGGTTGGGGTTAGTTGAGGGTAGGGGAAGGGGTAAGGGTAGTGGGTATGGGTAGGAAGTAGGGAGGAAGGGGCTGGGGCTAAGGATGTAGTGGGTAGTGGGTAGTTGATAGGTGGTAGGGGAAGGGAGATAGGGGTTGGGGGGGGGGCAAGGAGGTAGGGATTTGAGGGGAGGTGGGCCGGGAGGTAGGGATTGTGGTGTTGTGGAGGAGGTAGGGGTAGAGGGGGTGGCAGGGAGGCAAGGTTTAGAAAATAATGGGTAGGGAGGTAAGAGAGGTACAGAGGTTGGGTTAAGGTGGGGGGCAGGGAAGCTTAGTAAGGTTAGGGGCAGGAAGCAGGGGGGGTGGGGGTGGGGGGGGTAGGCGGGAGACAGAACTGGGACGGTTTGCACTTGGTTAATTGAAAATACCATTAGTTCTTCTCAGGCGGCCATGCAAACAGCCACGCCGTTCACATTTGGGCAGGCGCGTGTCGGTGGGCATCGGCTGGCGGTTGCAAACTGTTGTGTAGCTTCTTGCGTTGTCTGTGTTGGAGTGCTGAGTTCTGTGTTTGTTTGTGTGTTTGTTTGTATGTTTGTTTTTGTTTCCTGTTTTGTTTTGTATTTTTTATTGTTTTTTTAAGTATTTAATGTTTTTTGTATTTTTTATTTTCATTTTATAAAAATTCTTTGTTTTTATAATTTTTTATATTTTTTTTTGGAATCTTTTTTTTCTTTTTTGATTTGTATTTTTTTTTTCTTTTTTGATTTTTATTTTTTTCTTTTATTGTTTTGTATGTGTTTTCCTTTCTCCTCTTCTTTGTTTTGTTGTTGTGTATATGGCTTGTCATCACTGTCTTCGTTACTGTCAATCAATTGAATTGATTGTCATTGTCATTGTCAGTCACCATCACCATACATCTTCACTGTCCGTTTGTGTCATTGAGCCAGTGTCATCATCGGGTCTTGTCATCGTCAGTTGTCATAGTCATTATCATCTTGGTCCATTTCCATAGTCATTATCATCATATTCGGTCACGTCACCTTCACTGTCATTCGTTTAATAATGTCATTTTTTTCCCTGTCTTAATGTTCTCTAATTAATCTTGTTTTTAATTACAGGTAAGTCCGGGCAAAGGGAGGTTAGTCGCCGCGTGAAGTCTTATGCGTAAAGGTAATGTGGATATGTATGTAGTCGTGCGTGCGAGTGCTCCGGTCATAGTTGTGTGTAGTGTGTGTGTGTATGGTAGTGTGGTGTGTGTGTGTGTGGTGTGGTGTGTGTGTGTGTGTGTGTGTGTGTGTGTGTGTGTGTGTGTGTGTGGTGTGTCTGTATGTGGTGCCGATGCGTGCGTGTGCGTGCGTGCGGTGGTAGTTTGATATAAAACTCCTCGTCAATTTTCCTTCCTACCATGAGTAATTACCATATTCCAGATAAATAACCTTAATACGACGATTTAATCATATCCAAGTTAGATATCTGCCAATCCCGACTCGCTTACTTGACTGTTATATATAGGCTATACAGAATATATTTGCCCGTTTATCCTTGATGTTTATATATAGGGCTAATACAGTATAATATTTGGCGTTTTATACACTTGATTGTTTATATAAAGGCCTATATCAGTATATATGTTGCCGTTTTGTAAAAATCACTTGATCTGTTTAATATACTAAGGCCTATACAGTGGTATATTTACCGATTTAATCAACTTATTGTTTATATATAGGCCTATACAGTGCAATATTTACCAGTTTTTATCACTTGTTTTATATATAGGCCTATACAGTGTATATTTACCGTTTTATCACTGATTGTTATATATAGGCCTATACAGGATATATTTACCCAGTTTTTAATCCACTTATTGTTTATATTGATATAGGCCTATAACCGGATATAATTATACCGTTTTTAAATCACTTGAATTGTTTATATATAGGCCTATACAGTGTATATTTACCGTTTTATTTCCGGGCGGTCTTTAAATACTGTTTGGTGGGCATCGCGCCACACCATTTAGTGGGTACGTGGGTGACGTCCCATTGGTCCATGCATGTCCTCTCCCGCCCCCTCCCCCTCTCCTCTCGTTTCAACTCCTCTGTTTTTTTTCTCTTTCTCGTGCTCTCTCCTTTTTCTCTTCTTTTCCCCTGCTCTCTTTTTTTTTCTCTTTCTCTTAATTGCCCATTTTTCTCTTCTCCTCCTCCCTTCCTTTTCTCTTTCTCTGCCTCTTCCTTTTTTGCTTTTTCTCCTCCTGCCCCTTTTATTCTTCTCGCTTCTCTAGTGCACTTTTCTCTCTTTCTCATTCTCTCCCCTTTTCTCTTTTTCTCCTTCTTCTCCTCTTTTTCTCTTTCTCCTTCTCACTCAATTAAACCTCTTCTTTTCTCTCTCTCTCATTGGCTCATGCGACTCTTTTCTGTCCTTCTCATGTC